TTTCAGGACAATAAGGCCTCATACAGACCCGATACTGTACTCCTATTTTTCCTTTAGTTTCGTATTTGATGCTTCAAGGCTGAATACCTTTTTAATTGATGTTAATAAAGAATTGTGAGATATATTCTATCTTCCTGATGCACCCCCCCTCCACTTAGTATATGCAACCCTGTCCCTTTCCACAAAGAACTTGTCAACTATCCTATCAAAAAAAAAAAACTTGTCAACTATAAGTCTATAACCAAGGCATGTGTATATGGCTGATGGCATATCTAGGTAGTAGCACTTTTCAATAAAGGATGACCGAAATGCCCTTGAAAAGTATTTACCTGTACATAGACTAGGGTGTAAGAACAGCAATCTGGATCTTAACAAAAAACTACAATTAATTTGAATATTGCGTTTGACAAATATAAAATGATTCTGAGCACTGTTATGGTGCTCAAGAAATCTGATCTGTGAAAACTGAAAACAGGGTCATTCAGCAGCATTGTTGAATTAACCATAATGGGGCATATTAAATAGTGAAGGTAAACAGCATGGAGTATTATGTGCGTTACCAACGTACCGGAGAAATTCCTGACAACCACTTGGTCACCACAGAAAGATCTTGACGCCATTCATGTTCACACTGCCACGAGCTTGCATCACGTACAAGATTTACAGGACCCTTCACCACAGAATAAAGTGATTAGTATGAAAATATTTGATAACATCAAATATAAAACTTTGTTTCAGCAGCTATCAGAGAAACGCGTGTTCTTATTGAACTGCAAAGTTAACTCTAAAAAGAAATGATGCATCCATCTCAAGGGAATAACTTACCTTTGTTGGCTGTGTCCATATAGTGATCCGCCCATGAAAATTTGCCACTAGCAATGCACGAGGGCAGGACCGAGGAGACCATTCAATGAACTGAACAAAGTCACGTGGAGAATCTGTTCAATTGACAATACCATTACAGTGAAATATCCTGAGAGCACATCATTTTTATAAAAATGAATAGATATATTTATTTCAGATGAGCAGACAACAGGGTATCGAACTTGATCTGCATCTGCTTGTACACAGTCATAAGCTGAGTACAATTACACCACTAAAATACAACTGGGATTGAAATTTGAGGCATGCGTGTCTAGCAAAGAATAACATGCAAGTAAACCATAGTTAAGAATATTTTGTGTAGCAGATAAAAAGACATGTACCTGCTTTCACATTGAATACAGAGCATTCTGTTGGTCTCTCTGGATTCAGGATATGTATAGGAATCCAAAATGGAGGACTTGAATTGGAGCTGGAGAAATAATTTAAATTATTTTATGCCAAAGAATATTTCATACAAAAAACTGTGAATAAAAAAAATGCCACTAAGAGGGTGAATACTCAAGCATTCTTTGCTGAGGGTCTCCATTTTACTACTCCCAGTCTTAATGTTTTGATTTTTTTATGTTACCAATCTATACTTTCCTATCTTTTGTTGTCTGTTGTACGAGTATTGTAGCACTTGCTCCCAGAGTCCTCAGACACCCCTTATAAATTACTTGTATAGTTTACTCTACCTATACATGAGTTATAATTTTACCAGTAGGACTATGTCCTAATGTTTCTGCTCAACTTAAGAAACATCACTTTTCTACCACAAGCTCCACTACATAAGACAGACCTCATAGTTTAAACATTTTAAATGATATACATATGCAAGGCAATCAAGGCACAGAACATATCTGAGAAAGAAGTTGAAAGGACTCTAACCTTGGAATACGTGCACAAGTCTCTGATGCGCAAGCAATTGCATTCAGTTTCCCACACCAAGCAACTGCACTGCAGTGAAGAGCCCCATCAAAGCAAAAGGTCACCAACTAGTTTCCAGGTAATATTAGGATAAAAATAACTAGCTAGCCTAGCTACATACCAGATAAATGCAGTTACAGAAACAAGAAACCAGAAAACCAAGAAATAATGAACAAACTCAAAAGGATTTGGATCTAACCATCCCCCCTACCACCACAATTCTCCCCCTGCCCAAACAGGTCTTCAAATTGTAAGCTACGGAAGGCAGTACAGTTTCACAAAATGAACACACTGAAGTTATTAGATAATAATATACGGCCACAGGAGCCCCTCCAAAAAAGTTTTACAACGTTCTAGATCAAGGAGAAATAATGCAATCGCAGCCGCATACACACTCTCTTCATAATGACTCAGAAGTCGGTGATTCCACTATTCCATGCACCCCTCGCCAAAATTTTAACGTAATTGGCATCCAACACTGATCCCAGGAGCTGAGTTCAAAACAAACACTCGATTTTGGCATAAACAAAGGATATGGAGACGGAAGCGCAGGGATGCTCAACCACGCGCACCTGAAGTTTCTGCAGAGCTCGGGCACGCGCATCTTGTGCCGGAGGCTCGCGGGCGACTGCTTGAGCCGAATCCGGAACACGGTAGCCGGCGAGGCCTGCTGCGCTCCTCCACCCGCCCCAGCTCCTCCTCCTCCTCCTCCCACCGAGACGCCCACCTCCGCATCCCCCGCGCCAGAGCCGCCATCCACTTCCATAGCCTCGGCCGCAACACCGGCTGCTATTCCTGCCTCCGCAGCCTTGGCGCCTCCCCCATCCGCCGCCGCTGCCTCCTCCAGGCCGCCCCCCTGCTGCTGCTGCTGCTGTAGCGGCGGCGGCTGGTCCTTGGGTGATGAGGCGGTCCCGTTCGCGGTGGGGATCGGAGTGGGGACGGGGACGGGGACGGGGCTAGGGTTCGGAGGGGCGGAAGAGGTCATAGGGACGGAGAGGGACGGGGCCGGGGGCAAGAAAAGGAGAAGGGAGGGGGGGCGGTGCTTAGGTCACTTGAAGCGACCGGCCGTCGCTGTCGCGGGGAAGCGAGGGGAGATGCGCGCGGGAGGGGTTCCTGTGTTCCTGTGCGGCGGCGTCGCTATCAAGTGGGTGGAAGTGAAGGGAGGTGGTGGATGCGGCCGTGGAAAGGGGACGCGCGGACGAGGGGAGGGGGGCGACGACGATGGTTTTTGCCATTTGGACGATGACCGTGGGTTTTCGCACTTGGACGATGCTCGCGCAGTCGAGCTAAGAATGTGGCACTAGCTGGCGCTAGCCTCACCTTGCCCAGCAATGCAAGCAAGCAATTCTGGGCACTTTAGGTTCTCTGGATAGTCTTTGCCTTGTCTTGCTCGCACAGAAATCAAGATAGAACTGGTGTTTGATTTCCTGGTTTACTTTGAGTTTGTGCAGGATTTTATTTATATTTGTAATAATTACTCATGGCTTAAAACGGAGAGCCAAATTGGCAATTAGTTTTTATTTTAAATCAACATTTAATCTCCACGCATGTATCTATAAGTTTGATGTGATGGAAAATCTTCTTTTTGCATAAGATGACAAAGCTTGAACTAAACACACCCTTACTTTGAGTTTGTGCAGGTAAGATTTTGCTTACTCATGGAGGAGAGCCAAATTGGCTCACCCATGCTGACAAAGCTTGCCTTGCTGAGCGAGGCAAGACGAGCAAAGCCGGCAAAAGAACCAAACGTGTTGCTTTTAGTAGAGAGGGTTTCAGCTCGCGTCGGCTGGCAAGGCAAGGCTCACTCGCACAAGCTAGGCTAGACAGACCTATCTCAAGAACCAAACGTGTCCAACGCGTTTGTTTGGCGCAGCGTCCATGGAATCGATGGGTGCACTTGTTATGAGGCAGTAGATCTGAACACTTATAAATTAAAAATGAATAAAAGTCGGACTATTCTTTCCAGGCTTAAAACATATGTTGTTTCTTTTCTAGTTTCATCATATTAAATGTGAGTATAGTATCCAGTTCCATGCACTATATACTCGAATCTATAAAGAAACCACTCCTATCTATGGAATTCGCTCCCATCCTCCTCTCTCATATCGCTGTTGCTCCCAACACGAGAGGAAGTCGCTCCCATCCTCCTCCTATCAACAATGATGGGTTCAAGGTCATCCCAACAGTGGCAGTTTCGTGTGTCCGAGTGAGCCCTCACATGTTGGCATCCCCATCCTATCTACTGCAGCCTCTAAGGATGGTGCCCACATCTTTGTGCCGTCATCCCCTAGATCTACCTGGATCAGGCTGCAGGAGGTGGCGCCTCGAGCAAAACAAGCGAAGTGGGTGTCATGCAAGGGAGGGGAGGGGATCGAGTGGCACACGATAAAGTGTGGATGTGAAGCAGGGCGGAGCACGAGGAAGAGAGGGAGCAGCACAAGAGAAAAAGGAGCTGACCATGGATTGGCTATAGTGGGCAGATTGGGAGTGAGGAAGTGGCGAATAAAGATGGGAACTTATATTTGGTCCTGGCTATAGATGCAGGTCCATTTCTAAACATTGAGGCAAAATATCAAATGACGTCTTATCACTTGTGGGGTCTACTTAAATGAACTACTCGTCTCTATACAATACGGGTGCCTTTAGAATCAGACCTATTATATAAGTTTAATAGATTGTAGCATGGAGAACATTTGTGTTTTCTATGGATGTTGGTTGCATACTCCTAGGTCACTAGTAAAAGCTAAAAATGAAACCCAACATATGAGGAAACACGAAAATTAAGTTGAAGAGGACTAGAATCTGAGTGATGGGAATTGATGAACATATTTCCCCAACCAGATGAGCGAAGCTGATTTCCCGTAAAAGCTAATGTTTGAAATGGACGAGTCCTGCTGAAATTATATTGGATAACAGGAAAACTGGTAAGAAAAATAAAGTGATGCAGTCCTCCTCCACTGAAACAGAGGCATCGCTTGTCCGATACGATGGGAGGGAGGCCAAGCAGAACTGAGATGGTTCACACTTCATTCTTTCTATCAGTTCACTGCACAGGCGAAGCACCAATGTCCGTCACATCGAGTTGAGATACAGCATCCCCAAATCAGTGAAACAAGACGCATAAAGAAAATTCAGACCAGGCCAGTGGGCCAATAAGCATCCGATGGCAACAGATACGCAATTATTGCCGCAACTGCAACTGCTAATTCTCACGATGCGACGGGGTGGCCTTTGACCTTGAGGAAGTCGAGGAGCAGGTCGTTGACCTGCTCCGGGAGCTGCTCCTGCACGAAGTGGCTCCCCTCCGGGATGTAGGTGATCTTGAGGTCCGGCATGAAGTTGTCCATGACGCCGCTGCGCAGGGCGGTCTCGAACCCCGGGAACTTGAAGCAGTAGTCCTTCTCCCCCATCACCATGAGCACCGGGGCCTGGAACTTGGCGTCCAGCCGGTTCGGCATCTTGTGTATAGACCTGCCCCAATCCACGAAACCAAGCGCGCGGTAAACCTGCTGCAGTTCTGTCCTGTGCTGTACATGGCCATTGGCATGGAGTGTCTCGTAGTGCGATCGATGACAGCTGCTCTCACCTGTATGGCATCTGGAGCGGGTAGCGGAAGCCGGACTTCTCGTAGAGCTTGGCGTAGACGTCCAGGTCCTCCTCGGTGAACCACTCCGGGAGGGGAGTGGACAGGTCGGCCAGGTCCATGATCTCCTGCCCTTCCTTGGCAATCGGGATCTCGGCGCCGGAGAAGAGCACGTAGACGGTGCGCACCACGCGCCTCACGTCGTACCGCCCGAAGTCGGCCTCCGCCCTACCAGGCTCCTGCAGGAAAAGAAAAAAAAAAGGAACGAGCTGATGGTGATCAGAAATTGGAGAACCAGAGCAGCAGCTACTCCAATCATCAGAGATTCAGAGGTGGCACGTACACCCCAGCGCAGGACGTAGAAGCCCTCGGGCATGGTGTCGAAGGAGAAGGGAACGGGGCTGAAGGGGATGCCGAGGCACACCACGCCGCAGGTGCGGTCCGGGTGCTGCAGCGCGAACTCGTACGCCGGCATGGCGCCGAAGTCCTTGCCCACCAAGAACGCCTGCGGGCACGAACGTTCGAGTGGACGATGACGCATCGATCGATCAGTATCTCTACGTAGCCCGTAAGGTACGGTCACTGCAATGATCTGATTTCTCATCCGATCCATTTCTTACCTTTGGGATGGAGAGCGCGTCGAGGATGGAGAGCACGTCCGCGACGAGGTCGTCCCAGACCCAGGAGTCCTCCTCGTTCTCCGGCGGCTGGTCGGACAGCCCGTACCCGCGGCAGTCCGGCGCGATGGCGCGGTACCCCGCCGCGGCCACGGCCAGCATCTGGTGGCGCCACGAGTACCATATCTCCGGGAAGCCGTGCAGGAACACCACCGTCCCCAGTTCACCTGCCACAAATTAAACGAGCCAAGAATGACGACGCGAGCATGAGAGAGCAGTCCAGCGACCACCGGCCACTCGCTCGCTGCGTTGGCACCGAATGGAACACGGATTTGCAGCCAACGACCACGCAGCAGAGGACTCGATCGATCTCACCTTTGCCGACCTGAGCGACGTGGAGGTTGATCCCGCGGACGGGGAGCTGGGTGTGCTCGATCTCCTGGTGCGCCATTGATGCTTTGCCTCTGCTTGCTCCTCGAGGCCAGACAGAGGGCGAGATGCTTCAGCTTAGGAAGGAAAGGACACCAGTGGGTCAAGCCCCAGCAGCTATGCGCATCAATGGCTGGTGACTTGCACACTTGTATCTTGTCTGGTCTGCGCCTCCCTGCCTGTCCGGGGCTTGTCTTGAAACAGATGCATGATTAGCTATTTTGTTGCCAGTCCCTAGCTCGTGCTGATTAATGTATTTTGTTTCAGAATCACATGGTGGTTAACACATTTCTGTCACCTGATTCTCGACTCCACTCTCCACATGGGAAGACTTCTTTTTTTCATGAAGAAATCTCTTCCGATCCCTCGCTTGCTGACCATTTTGTTTCAGAATCACATGTTATCATCTTATCCAACGGATCTATCGGCAGAGGCAGATCATGAAACCCTTGGCTGCTCTGCTGCTGAGCAAGAGAGCATGCAACCCTGCACATGGAAAGCCTTTAACCATGATACGAAGAAACTACGACAAATCTACGTTGAATTTTCAACATCTCGTCTCTGAATTTGTTCATAATAAGTACTCCGGCGTCCTTCCTACAGAACTCTTGCGTCATCTTATCTCACAAGCAGAAATGCTACAAGCACGGTGTCCGGATACCCATTCGTGGGCCTGAGTACTAGCCCAATAAACCTCTGCGCCTACTCGTTTTTTATTACGGTATATCCTCGTCCGTCTCTTCCGTTGCGCCGGTTGGATAAGGAAAGAAGAAAGGGACGAGAGACATGCTCCGCTCTGCTCCGCGCGTCGATGGTCACCCCCGCCTGCTCCTGGGTCGTCGGTCGCGCGCTGCTCCTGCTCTGCGGCCCGCTCCGCTATCAACGGTCACCCCGTGCCACTCCTTCTCATGCTCCACCGTGCCGCCCCGCTACTTCCTGCCGCTGCTTCTGCTCTGCGGCCCGCTTCGCTTGACGACGTGGGCATCGCCGCATCCACGCGTGGCGACCGCTCCCTCGGCCGCTAGCTAGCCACTTAGGCCGCCGCGCAAGGAGAAGCATCGGCCCTTGGCGCAGAATCCCTTCGACTTCGCCTCCTGCTACTGCTGCGGCGCTCCAATGCAGATGGCAAAGGAGGCTGCACCGAAATACGATGCATGTTGTAAGCGTATATTTCAAACGTTTTAGAGATATGTTGCAAGTGTTTCATAAGGATGTTGCAAAAGTAGATTGGGATGTTGCATATGCTGCAATGGGCTATTCACGTATGTTTCAAATGTATGTTCCAAATGTTTCATCTATTTTAGACGTATGTTGCAAGTGTTTCATTTGGATGTTGCAAAACTAGATCGGGATGTTGCATATATATGCAAGTGTCTTAGGTGTTTTTATACGTATATTGCAAGTGTTTTATCTTGATGTTCGTATATGTTTGCAATGGCTACACATGTGTTTTCAAGTTTTTTTTGTGCTTTTGCAAATGTTTCAAACGTATGTTGCAAGTGTTTCAGCTATTCCGAATAAATGTTGGAAGTGTTTTATCTAGATGTTGCAAAAGTAGGTTAGATGTTGCACATATTGCAATGCGCATGAGAAGAGAAGAGGGCGTGAGTGATCTCTGCACGCGATCTAGCGGCGCGGGGCGTTATCCAGGTGGCGCGGGCCCTACATGGGCGCGCGAAATGCAGGCTCAAGCGGGGATGTGCTGGCCCGAGCACAGACGACCATGCGCTAGCACTACCCACAAGCAACTCCATAAAAGACCACACTACTGGAGCAAAGATTTCCAGAGGCCGACAACAGACATAAATGACCGCCTTTGTTAATGATCCAACTTTATACGAGGAAGTTATGGATTGCTTTTTTGGAAAGAGATTTGGCCTAAATGCAATGCGGGCTATCCAGAGAAGAGAACCAAACAGGCTACAAATAAAAAATACAGTTTCTATCAATTGGCATAACATGGTACTGTGGTACCAGAAGCGCTCCACAGTCCCACTTTACATCAACTCACCCAGTCGACAACCTACATGGTACTCCCAAACATTCCTCTCGTGAATCTCCAGAAGAGACTTAAGCAACACACTGGAAGATGCAACTGTACAGATCAGTAATACAGACGAATACATGTTCTATCCGGACGTATATGTTTATATTACAGAGAACACATAAGTTATTGGACTGGTGCAACAGGGAACAGGAGGGGAAGCATGTACCAACAGGTTAGCAGTTTTGCGCAGCAAAAAAAGATTAGCACATCTAGAAATGCAATGCGACGCCCCACAGCCTCCCAGGGGCAGTAGGAGGGCACTTGAAGGGCCTCGAGCTGCTTTTCGACAGCTTCATGATGAACCGCTCATGTCCACAAGGCATCCGCATTGGGGGCTTCTCGTCACTGGACTGCTCCCTGAGCACAGGGCACACAAAGACAATGATACTGGAATTCTGGCCCGACAGGGAGCTGCTTCATAACTTGCCACTCCTGCTTCTTCGCAGCCATGGCTTGCGTCAGCTTCAGCAGAGTTGGTAGTCCTTGAAAACCAGTTGATACTACAACACTCAGTGGGCTCTCCCGGCCCGGAAGGCTACTGAATTGATGGGTGAGCTTCTCAGCGCTTCTCCGAACGCGTGGATGACATTAACTCAGAATATGGGGATTGATCCAGCCGGCCAACCCATAGAAGGCAAGCCCATTAGCTTCTGGAATTCTTCCTTGTGCACGGCTGCAAAGGGGACCAAGTGAGTCCTAGCATATAAAAGAGCAACATCTTTGGTCTCACCCCTACTTCCTTTGGAAACTCACTATCTGCAGCTTCACAATAGCCAGCTCAACTTCATTCACTATTTGATCAACAGCTTCCAGAGCTTTAGCAGAAGATAGTGAACGTTTCTCAGCAACTCGATCAAATCCTTCTCTGAGGCTGTCGATCTCCATTAGCAGCTACCTGGATATGACCAAAAACATCATGTAACCAATTATTTCATTGAGAAACTCACTATCAAGAATATTAGAAAAGATGCATCACATGAAATCAAACTGCTAATAGATCACTATAGTTTTGAAATAAAAAATCATAGCATAGGTTCAACCTTTAAGAATTACAGATGATACTCGAAAAGGATCAAAATGCACATGGAGGCCAGCCCAATGCATGACTGACCTCGAGTCTATCTATGAATATGTCAGCAGATAGGATAGCATACAAGTATACTGTCTGCAATTTAAACAGCAGATAAGTATACGGAGGAACTAATATGTTTTCATGAAGAATATTTCAGAGCTACTAGACAGGTAACAAAGCAATGAATGTGTCCATGAGTGCCTACGTGAATATTCCAATGGTTAAGGTTGGCAAGGCAAGAAATGGTAACAAATGCCTACATGACACCATACACATCATAAGAAACAGCAAAACAGAAGCAGAGGGAGAGGGAGGGGGAAGAGAAAGGAGAAGGAAAATGAAAAGGAGAAAAGTGAAATGGCTTGCTTGGGACTGAATGGCGTTGCTGTAGTAGTAAAAAGAGAAGGGGGAAGGAGAAGAGATGGGGCTGGCCCAGACAATACTGTTAGCAATAATCTTGTGCGTGCATGAATGTGTCCAGGTTCAGCAAGTGTCTAGGTTATTTGCTATTAGTGCTACCTAGATTTCAGCTTATAGATAATAATGGGCAGATCATACAGGCATTGAATGCATTAATTAGGAGATTATTTTACCATACTTGAATGTAACATTCAGCTCTGTATAAATAGAGGAGAAAACAGAAAAGCTGCAGGCATTCCACCAGCAACAATCCAATGTCTGTTTGTCTTGTGTGAGTGTCCTGGGCATACTCTTGGAGGGCTGTAGCTACATATCAAAACTCTTGGAGGGCTGTAGCTACGTATCAAATACACCCCTTCACCTACAGTAGATATGATGTAGGCCCCGACCTTCATGCAGCGCTTTTAACTCAATGCGATACAGCGCCAACGCACCACCACTCCCCTCCTCACCCCGGCATTCAGACCATCACTCATTTTCCTGTTGCCCCTCCACCCCACTGCCACAACAGGATGACTACCCCTTCCTTCATTCCCTCTTTTTTCTCAAACACGCAGGAGAGCTGTGTATCATTATATTAATAGAAGGATAAGAGTCATACAGAGACCCAAATACACACACACACACATCCACATAAAGTATAACAGGACTTAATTACCAGAAAACAGAAAGGTGAGACCTGACCCAGAACCAAAGGCACTCTAAACAACACCTCTTGCTGTGAGCCTTGGCTCCAGCTAAGCACCAAAGATGGTCTTCATCCCTAGCAAGGTTTAAAGCAGTAGACAAATTAGGGACAGCCCCATTGAATACAGTCATTCCTGAGCTTCCAGATAATCCAAGCGCCGAGGGTAATGAGGGAGTTTAATCCCTTACGCACTTCAGCACTAACAGCAGATTCTGCCCTGTCCCACTTCCTCTCACACTTCTCTCTTCCTCTGCCTTGGCAAAGTATCAGGGACACACCCAGGCTTGTAGGAGAGCCGTATCGCCTAGGGGACAACACCTTTAAGAATAGTGATAAACACCAAACGATTCCTAAGATGGCCAAATAAAAAGGTTGTAACAGAAATAAATTCCAAACAAATCACCGATTAGTTGTATACCCACCCAGTTAGCAGTACTTAATAGCACAGGACTAGAGATTCACTGAACAATTGCAGGCCATTGCATGCATAACCTTCTAAAACAGAATCATCACTGAACTTTCAAAACAGAAAACTCCTAGTAATTTTAGCGCGACTTATTTTTTTCCATAACTACCAATACTTCAAAAGCTTAACTTAGGGCGTGGAAAAAAGAAAATTTTAAAAACTCACATCAGATAATGGGCATTCCTGTAGTATCTGTTGATGTACCTAGCCTGCAGAAAACAATAGGTACAAAGTTAAATCTATTCAGTTATGCTTTAACTGAGGAAAGCTTAACAGCAGCAGTGCATACCTTTTCATTGTTTACATCAGGCGTGTCTGGGGTTTTCACA